GCATGGTTTTTTTATTCATTAATACATTAAAGTGTAAAAATAAGCATGAATTGTAGTCAAATATCGAATAGGTTTATACCCTTTTTGTTACCCCTATCATCGAGAAAACCTACTTCAAATAATACGGTGAAGAACATGTACAGCCCCTATAAATCGCTTACGCAGTAGCTACATCAATTAATGTGCACTAGATTCACTATATATACTCATATTTCGTTTCAATCCCGAGATTTTCATACAATTTGCTCATCTAAAATATATAAACAGTTTCTTAGAATTCATTTGGCTGTTGTTCTTGCGTCAAAGTTGCTTCTTCAAGTCTCTCACTCGGCTCCGAGAACAGATTCTTTTCCCCATGAAAAAGTTTCTCCCAGAAGAAGGAAAGTACGCGAACGTGGAAGGCCAATCTGAAACCAATGAATATCACTATCAACCCTCGATACTTGTTAGTTTCATTTGGGAACTCGCTTTCGATCAGAGGAGCCTGCACTTCCTGTGCCACATCAAGCATTATAGCTACCACTTTCGTTGCTTTCTCGATAAAATTCACAACGAGAGGCAACCAATAGATAATAAAATTTGAATTTTTATTCAGACAATCCTTTCGTGCACCAAACGCACGTGAAAAATGGTCGACGCGTTGTGTTCAACCAGCGTACACGAGGTAGGTAATTTAGACAGCAGACAAGTAGAAAAGTGACAAGCAACCTAAGGTACAAACGAATTGAAGTATGGAGACTGTTTCCATCTGATTTTGTGGTGTGGATTCGAATTGAATAATAGACAGTTGAGGCTACGAGTAAAAATATGAATGAAGCGAAATAACCCCACTTGTAAATCTTCTTTACTTTCGCAGTTTGGTAGTTTAACATGTTGCGATTCAAATAAATAATGAAAATGAGTAAAAATGAAGCAATGATGGACATCCAGAGCCAAGCAGTGAACCAGTGTCTTGGATTCGAGATAAAGATATCTTGGGTGCAATTTATCACTGAAGCTTGTTCAAAGAGGATGCATTTCGTGTCGAACATGGAGAAACAAATTACGGATATGAACCAAGGCATAGAAAGGATCGAGGACAAAGATCACCTGTAAAAAATATACTGTATCCTGATATGCATGCGAATTGTTATTACTATTGACGCTTTAAATTAAATGTTTGAAACTATATTACTAAATTATATTAATAACACAGTTAATAAGTTTAATCAACAGTAGCTAAAGTTGTTCGTTCAAAGCATACGTTACTTATAGGTTGATACTTGAGGGAATCTAATAAACCAATACCAGAAATGAATAAAAAATGGTTGTCGCCGGTGCATTAAATTGGGTTTCATACATATATATACATGCAGTCGACTTTTCTATAAAATACATTGCGTGACGGTGTATAAAACTACCTTGGCAATCATAGGCGTTTGCCAACCACTAGATCAAAACAGCAGTTTAAATTTATTTACACTTTGTAATTTTCATACGCAAAGTTCAATTTAAAAATATGCATATCCTTGAACACCTGTCAATTCTGTGTCATGCAATGAGCTTCAGAATCAACTATTTTTCATACAATATTCTTACTCGGATAGTTAATATATGACGTTTGAAATATAAAGAATTAAAAATGTTATTAAGCATGTTAAACAAGTCATTTTAACTTTATACTTTCGTAATTAGGCTTCGTCAAATTAAACTTAGTGCACGGATATAATCCGTAACCATATGACAATAAACAAAATGTATATGCGGAATAAAGTTTCAACAAGACGGTACCTTAAGAATTGTGAAATTGGGAGCCGAAATAACAGTGCCAGAATCGGTAAATGGGCATGTTTACATTGGCCAATGCCACAAGGGAATGTGCCATTGGTCTCTGAACAGTTCTTTTAATTTGCGATTTTGGGAACTATACCTATATTGAGACAGGGACAAAATTTAATGGGATAGTGTAGGAGTACACGTTGATAAATTCGTTCTGCCTGACGCATTTCAGACGTATATGAGTTTCAAAAGAAGTTCGTCAGCCAGAACAGAATATATAAATTTTCATCCCACCAAACTAAAGATCAAGGCACTTCAAAGTAAAAAAAGTCCATATAGCTCACCCCTTGATTATTTCTGCTTTTGTTTTTTCTACTTTTTCCATGTTTTCAATCTCGACCTTCAAACCCAAAATCAGATTCCCGTAATACCCAACAAATGAAACAATTTCTTTTCTAGTATTTTTTTTCAGTGACTTTCTATAAAAAGACCACCATGTCATATTTCATCAATCTTTCACAGTAATTAGCTAATAAAAATTGCTAAAATAAAGCCTAAAAATAATGAAATTCGTCATTTCTTACTGTATTCGCTGGAATTCGCTATGAAAACTGAAAATATAAAAATTTGATAACAAAGCCCGCGCACTCATCTCTGGTATGATTTCTATTTGCTTGCAAAATAATGCTTTGCGAGCTTGGCGGGAGATCACTTGCATGCACAACGGTGCCTGGCCGCTTCTACTTCTTGTAGAGGTATAAGAAAAGGGTATAGTCTTCGATCCGACTACGGTATAAAACTGCAAGCGCTCATTTTTGAAGGCTGTATAGATGGATCAAATGGACTGTAAAATCCATGGGCACTTTGAGGTAGAATTCGAAATGAAATGTTCCATGGAATTTAATAAATACCAACACAGCATTTCCAATAATTATGCAGAGTGCATAAATTTTTCACCTAATCAAAATTATTACCTATGTATATATCAAATATCACGACATAAATGTAGTTGTGAAGTTTCGAAAAATTCGACACTTTAAGACCATTAAATTGTTACAGATAAACTACATAAATTATCTGAGCGGTTTCACTTTCTCATAACAATACGCCATCACGAATAGGCAATAGCTATGCCTAGGTGACCTGTACTGTAGACAGTAGTGGGTCGTGGTGTAAAGCCTTATGTTTGAATATATATAATGCGCCCCATGCCACTTTATTTAAATTTGATATTTGAATCTTCACTTGTATATAGAGAGAAAACCGACCACGCAATAATAAACCCTATGCTATGTTGGGAAGGCGACTTGTTATAAACATGTATTTTATTAACATTATTCATGCATGTCGCTTTTGAATTTTCTATTTGCGGTCTTCATACCCTATTATAAGCAAAATAACCGCGTATGTATTTCTTGCTAAAATACAGAGTTATAATATCCCTTTTTACCTCCATTAACCTTAGGGAACAGGTCCGCAGATTTGTAAAAAGTACCCAAGGAATAATAAATACATGCTTTCGATTACACGATTAACGTCTGTATTCAAAGGTACTGCACAGGTACCGTACTTCACTGTACTGTCTGTACTGCGATTGGAACAGGTCAAATTTTGAAGTTTTAACGCGGCCTACTCTGTATTGCTGCGTTTAAAATTTCTCGAATTTTAGGAGGTTATACCTATACATATATATATGGAATTTAAAGCCTTTTAATCTAACTGAAGTGATTTCTAATTTATTTTATAAATTAAAAAAGAAAACATTGATCATTTATAGACCTGAAGTGATGGGGATTTAGCGAAAAATTTCTCGATGTGATGATATTTCCCGAGGGATTTGCATGATATCATGTCGGATGACATGACTTTGGATATTATGAAAAAAATGCTCTGAGCCTGTGAAATAGCCACAAGTACAAAGTTTCGATAAACGGTAAAAGAATTTCTATAAATTTCTATATTTCAGCCAAACTTACCAATAGCAATCGTCTTGCTAAGCTCCTTAACCTTGCATTGACTTGAAAAAGTAATATGTTAATTATATGATTACTATTGGTTTATCTGTGCAAAATACAATAGACAAGTGATGAGAAAGGAACAATTTTTGCATAAATCTACCTCAACATAGTTAGTGAGTTGTATTGTGGTTTTATGTGGTCTTCAAACCATATTATATATTCTATTAACTGTGTTCACACGAGATACGTCTGTAAGTTAGTTTCTCTTGACCACGTCCGGCCTCGGATTCGCGCTCAGGCTAAGTTAAATGCCAATCTGGGGCCGGTTGTATAAAAACGTCGTTAACGTTAACTGTGATTAGCACTAATCACTGTAGTTAAGTCCTTAACTATGATTAGTTAACTACACGACTTAACTGAATTGCACAAAACGTAGTTAGTCGGATGATTAACTAATCACGTAGTTAACTTGCGTGGAGCTTGCCTAGGGTTATTAAACAGTGAAATAGCATGAAGTATCTTGAAATTATTGACCGCTATTATTGATTTTGAACAAAACTGTGGACTCGTATTTAGAAAATTTGACCGTATTTTGATCTAAAATGTTAGAAAAAATTCAATAAAACAAGGAAAAAGTTCAAAATAATTCAACGAAAAAGGCGCTCTTAACATAAAAAGGTCCCTTTGAGTCAAACCACCGGTTGCAGTTGAAAATGGAGATGGCTATATTCTTTGCTAGGATCGTAATTTGGCATCTACACGTCTCCCGAGGCAAAAATATACTCTGTTGCTGCCCAAATGAAAAAAATAAAAGCATATTGAAAGTTTGCAAGCTTCGACGGGGCCTTTTCTGAGTTGATAACGCTTGACAACCTTGGTACACGCCTAAAAACGCTCAGGTTGATGCAAGTTGATATAAACAGGATGGAGCAATGTCGTGCTGCCCACATTGTTCAGAGTTGTTATCAATATTGAACAATATTGTTACACCCGATTCAGTTTCAACAATATTGTTCAATGTTGATAACAACTCTGAACAATGTGGGCAGCACAACATTGCTCCATCCTGTTTGTATCAACTTGCATCAACCTGAGCGTTTTTAGGCGTGTATGTGTTGATTTTAATTAGTTCTGACAGAATTCATATAATTAGAGTGGAATACTGTGAAGTATAATTACTGTGGAAATGTGAAATCAAAGATTGTGAAAATGTTAATTGCAAAGTGCTATAAAGGTGCTATAATTAGCGTGTTGTTGTATAAATGGCTAATGTCAGGTACTAGTTTACAACGACAACGTCCTAACTTCCATTTGGGGATTCAAGCCATTAGCCATTCTATCGCCATTCACGCTTGCCCAACCCATATAATCAGTAGTGCAAGCCTTTCCAACATTTCCATCTTTATCAATCGCAATAACACCTCCTAAACCTGATTGTTGAAATTTATTCTGCATCTTTCGCAAAGCATTTTCTGCAGCTTCCTGTAGGGAACGAATGAATTCATAAAATTAGGTATTGAATTTATCAAGAGTATTAACGTTAATTTTCATGCATGAAAGTATTGAATTTATTAACAATATTAACATTCCCTTGCATCAAATTTGGCCTTTAGTAAAATAGTGAGCACTTTCAAAAGTCGCTCTTTTTGCACCAAACGTATATTACGGATAAAATAATAGATAAAAGACATTTCGCTCATTGCGTTTTGCCTACAAGTAGAGAGGGTCATTCCCTGGTTTATGTTTCGTGTCCAAACCTGAGCATTCATCCCACTTTCCATCATATAAACGACCTCTCTTGCTAAGGTCATTTTCATCAAATACTCTCCCTGTCCAGATGTGGTTGCCGCTCCGTGTTCATTTGCATAACCCCCGCAGCCAACCATCGCTGCGTCACTCACACGACCTTTCAGACTTCCTGCTATACCGCCTGGAAATAGAAAAACGCCAAAGTTAGAAGACCTTATGTTTCAGCAACCAATAACCAGTATGCTTTTAAACTGCTTGTTGGAATATCGGTTTACACTTTCGTTATAATTATTTTACTTTACTCTTACAAATATTTCAAACGAATATTCCCCCCTCTGGGATATAGCCTATATACATATCAATCGTCAAAGCATGCATTGCTTTTGAAATCGTGATATACCGGTATTCCTTTTATATAGGCACTATATATCAATTCGTTTTATATAGGAACCGTTTACAGATACCTGTTGACACTGCGCAAGCCAAACGACCATTAGCATCTCTGGCAACAGCTGATACGGTATCTGTTGGAGTCACTGGAAGTCCCAAGGGAATGTAATCATTAAAGCCCAGATACCTTATTTGTGAATTTCTTTGACGTTGTGTGATCAGTTGATTCGGACCACAGGTGGGGAATCCTTGTTCTATGGCGTAGTTCAAAGCACCTTCACCGCTCAGGGCACAGTACTGTGTATCGTTCATGATTTTCTTAGCAAGTGAGACAGGATTGCGAAAGTAACGTCCAGATATTACTGCTTCTATTAAACCACAGAAAGAATCTAAGAAAATTTGAACGTTTTACCATCTAGGAATACGTTTTTCAATTCAACCTATATTCTTGCAATATTCTTCAGTACAGTTTTATAGTGGAAATTAACGCCGTTTACTGGTTTTAGTGGTTTACGCGTCATGGCTGCTTGAGAAAAACATTGTAGAATCTATATAGGACAATTGCAAGGTTGTAGCTGTACCAGTGTTTAACGAGCTTCCGTCCATGATCATTGCGTTACATTCAACTTCACCGTCGTTGTTCAATGTTGATCCGTACCCAGCATTAAAATATTCGTTGTCCTCCAAAACACGGACTGCTGCTTCTACTGCATCAACTGCACTTCCGCCGTCCTAATAAAGTATTGTTCAGTGTATGGGGGATTTGGTACTTGCAGTCATATATAAGCAACTAGTGTGGCATTAACTTGTGAAGTCCTGAAATGCTGACATAAAGGTGACGAAGTAGGTATTGATTCTGTAGGTATTGCATGAGTGGTGTGTTAAATTAAAACCAAAGAATGATCGCAAATTGTAGTTTGACATCTATATGTCTTCATAAATAATTGTTCCCTTGCATTTCCACACTAAATTTGATAATACGATCTCGTTCAGTATAACACAAATTTTAACAATATGCATGGACTGACAAAACTGATATATAGTTTTTTAAGACTTATATAAGTCTTTTTATGGATTTAACCTTCCCCCCTTTAATTAACTTCCTTCTCCTTGAAAGCGTATGCACCTCAAGTTTAGGTCAGTGTAGCCTGTGTAGGATTATTTAGCAAATAAAGGGCCAGAAATGCTCTGATTGATGGATTTAGCATGCAAAGCATTTATGATTCAAATGTCTGCTTTTCGTCTGACACCTATGCCCGACAGTAGTTCATAGAATTAGGAAATTTCGCTTACATTATTTGCAGCAAAGCACATAGCTTAACACTACAACTAACTCATTGCGACTATTTCAGTGAACGATGTTATAATATCCCAACAAATTTCGATGTATTTAGATGAATGGATAATCCCATTGAATATATAGCTAGACTAGCTTTGTTCCGCAAATGTGGTAAATCGATTCATACCTATAATCATTGAGAAAAACGCTTTGAATACAACTACCAGAGTGCTAAAGAGCGCGTCTAATTTCGTGGTGTTGACAGAGACGTGAGTTCGTGTACAAAATCTTCGACGATCTCCGTCGCAAAGTTTACAACACGATGCACGAATTACTGGAAGAATATTACACAGTCACATGGTGCCCGACAATCCTCCATATTTTTATTATGATTATGGATAAAGAAGATAACATTTTGATAAGAACATACCCTCAAAATTCTATATCCTTCTCCGGCCGAAACCTTTATTATTTCCTTATATTCCTCTTGCGAAATATCACCCCACGAAGCCTGGCAAAATGCGCTGCCCTGAACAATAATTTGTAATGCTGAAAAGAATAAACTATATTAGACAGTACGATATTTAGGGTGCAAATATCCGGAATAAGAATAATGGGCCTTTAATAGTAGAAAACATAGAATCTAGAAAATAGGTGCTTCTTAGAAACATAGTTTCTGGTGGGGGAGATAATCAGAATGTTCGAAAGCCATTTCACAAATGCCGATAAGTGATAAATGCATGCATGCAAATAGCATGTCACACCTGCAACATCTTGTCCTGGAATTGCCATGATTGCACTCTCTGATTTACTGTAGAAAAATAGAGCATACTGTGACATCTGTACTATTCATTTGTGTCTATTTCTCACAGTGGAAGCGAGAATCGACTTTTCTGTATAATATACAGTAACGTTGCCGGCCAGACTATGTATCCAGCATAGCGGGACAACTTGGACTCAATAATTATTTTACAGCTGTTTCTTAATAAAAAAATTTTGAACTGTAAACTCTGATCAAAAATCAAAACGCTTCAAGTAAAAAACAAATTCCGTATAGCTATCTTCTTGACTATATCCGCACGTGTTTTTTCTACTTTTTTCTTGTTTTTAATCTCGACCTTCAAACCTTCAACTTTGATCCCAACCTGTGGAAATTTGTTTTCAAACTTTGTTTTATTCCTCCGGATTCATAATCTTGTAAAACTTCAAGAAATCTCGTTTCTGTTAAACAACGCAATTTAACATGACTCGTAGTCGCCGTTTGTTGGCAAATTTCGTACCGGAAGTGGCTTCACCCCCCGGAGATTTCAAAATGGAGTTGAACCATTATATTGACAACAATCATGAAAAGTGCAGTCGTCTCCATTTTGAAATATTATTTCGGGGGGATGAATGCCTCTAGTCGCTTGCTAAGCATGCGCAGGAAGCCATGCGCAGTGACGAATCGTTTACGCTTTTTAGTCAGAAGAGAAACATCTGGTTGTTAATCTACGATCGACTGGTTGTAAACAACTAGGAGTTTTGGCTCATGGCGTAAGCAAACAACGCGCGAGAATGACGAATTTCGTAGTCGTAGTCGCTGCTAAAACCATAGAGATTATAAATAACACTTGCATGTCGCCATTGAATTTTTTATTGTCTTTGCACCCTAAACAAAAGATTTTTAATGTTCGAGACCTAAATAAGTATACCAAATCTATCAAATTATAAGCGTTTGCTAATAATCGTTGCTTCATAACGGAAAACAAAGAAGTCGTCAGTGACAAGCGGATCTGCATGGTACTAATAATCGTATGCAGGCTTTGTTTGGTCCTAATCCGAGAGTTAATTTTTCTGGAGATAAAAATTGGCAGATGGTCGCTTAATCCAATATTTAGCACGCCAGATTGGATGACCCTATCCTTCTGAGAGGTGTAGATAAGGTCTATTACTTTACCAGATATTGGCCTAGTAGCTATATTAATGAGTTGTTCAAATTGGTACTGAGATGTTATTACATGAAGTGGTTGATAGGAACGTTTGTCTTGAAAGTTAGTGTTTAAGTCTCCTAAGATAATAATTTCTTTACGTTCGTTATCAACCGTACCTAAAGTGCAGTTTAAAGAATCTCTCCAATGGGTATATTATTTCCCGGTTGATACATTATGGCCATTAGGAAGGGTTTGATATTGTTTTTATTTCGATTCCTAATAGATTCAAAAATCATGAGTCTGACTTGGTCCAATGTATTTGTTATAGCCTGAAAGTTTTAGTGGGAAAAAACTTAGGCCTTTCGTAGGAATTTGAGAAAAGGGATTGTCGGCGGTTAATTTAATTTTTGGCATGGGTTGGTTGGAATTCAAGCCGTTTAAAATATGTAATCTAGTATTACTAAAGCCATTATATTTTGCAGCCTATTATATTTTGCAAACGAAATTTTTATTGTAAGTTGTAACGAAACGTAGCAAAACGGACAATAATGTTGTAGCATTTGGTTTCTCTACCTAGGCCTTGGTCGACGACTTAATTCATCGACATGCAGTTTCATTGTTTCCGGTTTGTTTTAGTGTATGTTATTAAAACGTGTTTACGGCTGTATAGACTAAACGATAACTAAAACATTTTTAAATAAGTATTTTCTTCAAAAACGCATTGTATAGTTACCTGAAATGATAAGAGCAGTAATCGAAATATACTAGAGAAAATATATATTCTGTTAGATGTTGGTTGATGGAGTTCTCTGTCGATAGCGATATGAAACGCTAGTGTTCTTTCAAAACGAAACTTATTAGCCTCATTCCTAATGCAGGCATGCATGTTAAAAAATGGCGACATGCAATCATACTGCGCAGCATGAGTGAAGCTTGGTTTTCATCATTATGTTCCTATATATAAACCTGTCGTAAATGTTACAGTCTCAAAAACCTACTCCAACGCTGCACGCGAGACCATGTTTTGAAACCATTCCCCAGAAAGCTCAAATTTAATTCATTGATATTTTTATGTTATTATGTAAACATAATTAATTTCGATGTCAAACCGAGCTAGGTCAAGAAACAATGAATCCTTCATCTTGAGACTTTACCATATATAGACGTAATAATACAATATATTAGAGAATTCAGTAGACTGTGAGATTTTATTAGCCAGTGACTGTCTATATATGAATTAGGAATACAAATTATTAAAAATGTCATCATATCGCGATGCAAAATCATCTTTTGTCTATTTTAGGCAGTTGTTACACCATATTTGATGCGAAGCTATATAGAGTTTAAGTACATGTTTCAGGAACTTATTGAATGCTTATACCTATTGGCAGTATTGCATGCTTATGCCAAGCCTATTAGCATTATTCCTAATGCAGGCATGTTAAAAATGGCGACATTCAATCCTACTGCGCAGCATGAGTGAAACCTGGTTTTCATATGTTCCTAAACCAGTCGTATAAAGGCTGCAGTCACAAAAACCTACTCCAACGCTGCACGCGAGACCATGTTTTGAAACCATTCCCCAGAAAGCTTCAATTTAATTCATTGCTATATTTTTTTGTTATTATGTATAAACATAATTAATTTTGATGTCACACCAAGCTAAGTCAAAAAACAATGAATCTTTCATCTTGACGACTTCACCATATATAGACGTAACAGCCATAATTATTTGCAATGCAATAAATATATTACATACAGAATTCAGTAGACTGTGAGATTTTATTAGCTAGTGACAGTAAGTGACTGTCTGTGAATTAGGAATACAAATTATGAAAAATGCCGTCATAAATTATTGCAAAACAGTCACAGTTAGCTTTAATAAAAAATTCATAAAAAGCACTAGCTCTATACAAAAAGCTTTGGTTACTTGAAATGATCGCATGGTTTTTTTATTCATTAATTCATTAAAGTGTAAAAATAAGCATGAATTGTAGTCAAATATCGAATAGGTTTATACCCTTTTTGTTATCCCTATCATCGAGAAAACCTACTTCAAATAATACGGTGAAGAACATGTACAGCCCCTATAAATTGCTTACGCAGTAGCTACATCAATTAATGTGCACTAGATTCACTATATATACCCATATTTCGTTTCATTCCCGAGTTTTTTTTTCATACAATTTGCTCTTCTAAAATATATAAACAGTTTCTTAGAATTCATTTGCCTGTTGTTCTTGCGTCAAAGTTGCTTCTACAAGTCTCTCACTCGGCTCCGAGAACAGATTCTTTTCCCCATGAAAAATTTTCTCCCAGAAGAAGGAAAGTACGCGAACGTGGAAGGCCAATCTGAAACCAATGAATATCACTATCAACCCTTTAGTTTCATTTGGGAACTTGCTTTCGATCATTATATCGGTCCTCGACAAGAACAATTCAGTTGCTTTCTATTGCGAAGACCTCTGACTTGAAATTGTATGGAATAAATGCATTACTTGCGCCAACTGTTGAAGAAGTTAACAAATTAACTAAGGTATGTTAATTGATAATAATGCAATCATATGTTAATAATGATATGTATATTGATGCATATATAGCTGATTTGTATAGGCAACTTGATAGGAATATTTCAACCCTCTCCTGTTTATAGGAGCAAGGATATAGCTTTATCATTGATGGTGTTGAAAGAAAGTTTCAAGGGGATCTACTCCTTTGGAGTGGGGATACTTTAGCAAGTCAACAGATTGCAGGGTTTAAAGAGGGAGTTGGAGGTGCACTTCGCTTTTGTAGGTCTTGCCTGGCAACAAGAGAAGAGAGTAATGAACAGGTAATGGTTTTTGGTTATTTAGGTCAGTATATGTATGTGCAAATTTAGGTACAATAGGGTATTTTTATGTCTCTTCAGTTCAGATCAGAGAACTTTCAGCCAAGAACCTTAAATACCCACATCCAAATTTGCCACATGTTGGATGATCCAGAAAATAGCAGTCATGTGAAAGATCGCATTTCAACAACTTATGGTGTTAATGGAAAGTCGGTGTTGGTCAATGCTGGAAACTTTGATGTTTGTCAATGCTTCCCACAGGATATTATGCATGTTCTGTTTGAAGGTGTTATTCCATACGAAATGAAGCTACTACTTAAGGTTATAGTAGATGAAAAGAAGTTCATTTCCCTAAAGGAATTAAACCACAGAATAGAAAGTTTTGATTATGGTTACATGAATGCAAAGAACAAGCCATCACAGATTGTCCGGGAGACTGTGAACTCTTCTGATTCAAAACTTAAGCAAAGTGGTATGATAGAAAATTCATTTATTTTCCTTCTTGAATTGTAAGGCAACAGAACATTTTCAGAAACTTCAATTCTTTTTTATTTTAGCTTCACAGATGTGGTGCCTTTTCAGATTCTTTCCAATAATCGTGGGGGATCTGATTGACAAGAATTTAAAGGAGGGATTCAAAATTATTTTATTTTATGTCGCAAGGCGAAGAGGCTCGAATTGCGAGTCACGACGATAACTTATCTTATCATAAAGCTGCTAGAAAAAGCAATATTATGCTGAAAGGAATGCTCCAAGAATTTATTTGTTGAATAAGGCCCGAAATGGCGAGGCTATTTGTTGTCGCTACAGACGCCACCTTCTCGCTTGTCCTACAATTACAAATATATAACGTTTTAAATAACGGCCGGTTTATTTACAAGCTTCGCTTTATATTTTCTTCAAAATATAACAATATTTTCTTCAAAATATAATAAAAAATAAGCATATTCATCACAGATCACAGCCCGTCGAGCGAGAAGAAAATAATAAAATTATAACGACGCATACGTCATGTAAAGATTATATAACCAACGTAAACAAACATTGTTATGCGCAGAATATATGCTCAGAACGGACTTTACATCATCTTTAATTGCAAAGAGCTATAAAGGTGATATAATTAGCGTGTTGTTGTATAAATGGCTAATGTCAGGTACCATCTAGGAATATGTTTTTCAATTCAACCTATATTCTTGCAATATTCTTCAGCAGTACAGTTTTATAGTGGAAATGAACGCTGTTTACTGGTTTTAGTGGTTTACGCGTCATGGCTGCATGCGAAAAACATTGTAGAATCTATATATAGGACAATTGCAAGGTTGTAGCTGTACCAGTGTTTAGCGAGCTTCCGTCCATGATCATTGCGTTACATTCAACTTCACCGTCGTTGTTCAATGTTGATTCGTACCCAGCATTAAAATATTCGTTGTCCTCCAAAACACGGACTGCTGCTTCTACTGCATCAACTGCGCTTCCGCCGTCCTAATAAAGTATTGTTCAGTGTATGGGGGATTTGGTACTTGCAGTCATATATAAGCAACTAGTGTGGCATTAACTTGTGAAGTCCTGAAATGCTGACATAAAGGTGACGAAGTAGGTATTGATTCTGTAGGTATTGCATGAGTGGTGTGTTAAATTAAAACAAAAAATGATCGCAAATTGTAGTTTGACATCTATATGTCTTCATAAATAATTGTTACCCTGCATTTCCACACTAAATTTGATAATACGATCTCGTTCAGTATAATACAAATTTTAACAATATGCATGGACTGACAAAACTGATATACAGTTTTTTAAGACTTATATAAGTCTTTTTATGGATTTAACCTTCCCCCCTTTAATTAACTTCCTTCTCCTTGAAAGCGTATGCACCTCAAGTTTAGGTCAGTGTAGGATTATTTAGCAAATAAAGGGCCAGAAATGCTCTGATTGATGGATTTAGCATGCAAAGCATTTATGATTCAAATGTCTGCTTTTGGTCTGACATCTATGCCCGACAGTAATTCATAAAATTAGGAAATTTCGCTTACATTATTTGCAGCAAAGCACATAGCTTAACACTACAACTAGCTCATTGCGACTATTTCAGTGAACGATATTATAATATCCCAACAAATTTCGATGTATTTAGATGAATGGATAATCCCATTGACTAGCTTTGTTCCGCAAATGTGGTAAATCGATTTATCATTGAGAAAGACGCTTTGAATACAACTACCAGAGTGCTAAAGAGCGCGTCTAATTTCGTGGTGTTGACAGAGACGTGAGTTCGTGTACAAAATCTTCGACGATCTCCGTCGCAAAGCTTACAACACGATGCACGAATTACTGGAAGAATATTACACAGTCACATGGTGCCCGACAATCCTCCATATTTTTATTATGATTATGGATAAAGAAGATAACATTTTGATAAGAACATACCCTCAAAATTTTATGTCCTTCTCCGGCCGAATCCTTTATTATTTCCATATATTCCTCTTTCGAAATATCACTCCACGAAGCCTGGCAAAATGCGCTGCCCTGAACAATAATTTGTAATGCTGAAAAGAATAAACCATATTAGTACGATATTTAGGGTGCAAATATCCGGAATAAGAATAATGGGCCTTTAATAGTAGAAAACATAGAATCTAGAAAATAGGTGCTTCTTAGAAACATAGTTTCTGGTGGGGGAGATAATCAGAATGTTCGAAAGCCATTTCAGAAATGCCGATAAGTGATAAATGCATGCATGCAAATAGCATGTCACACCTGCAACATCTTGTCCTGGAATTGCCATGATTGCACTCTCTGATTTACTGTAGAAAAATAGAGCATACTGTGACATCTGCACTATTCATTTGTGTCTATTTCTCACAGTGGAAGCGAGAATCGACTTTTCTGTATAACATACAGTAACGTTGCCGGCCAGACTATGTATCCAGCATAGCGGGACAACTTGGACTCAATAATTATTTTACAGCTGTTTCTTAATAAAAAAATTTTGAACTGTAAACTCTGATCAAAAATCAAAACGCTTCAAGTAAAAAACAAATTCCGTATAGCTATCTTCTTGACTTTATCCGCACTTGTTTTTTCTACTTTTTTCTTGTTTTTAATCTCGACCTTCAAACCTTCAACTTTGATCCCAACCTGTGGAAATTTGTTTTCAAACTTTGTTTTATTCCTCCGGATTCAAAATCTTGTAAAACTTCAAGAAATCTCGTTTCTGTTAAACAACGCAATTTAACATGACTCGTAGTTGCCGGATTTTGGAGTGCCAGTTTGTTGGCAAATTTCGTACCGGAAGTGGCTTCACCCCCCGGAAATTTCAAAATGGAGTTGAACCATTATATTGACAACAATCATGAAAAGTGCAGTCGTCTCCATTTTGAAATATTATTTCGGGGGGATGAATGCCTCTAGTCGCTTGCTAAGCATGCGCAGGAAGCCATGCGCAGTGACGAATCGTTTACGCTTTTTAGTCAGAAGAGAAACATCTGGTTGTTAATCTACGATCGACTGGTTGTAAACAACTAGGAGTTTTGGCTCATGGCGTAAGCAAACAACGCGCGAGAATGACGAATTTCGTAGTCGTAGTCGCTGCTAAAACCATAGAGATTATAAATAACACTTGCATGTCGCCATTGAATTTTTTATTGTCTTTGCACCCTAAACAAAAGATTTTTAATGTTCGAGACCTAAATAAGTATACCAAATCTATCAAATTATAAGCGTTTGCTAATAATCGTTGCTTCATAACGGAAAACAAAGAAGTCGTCAGTGACAAGCGGATCTGCATGGTACTAATATCGTATGCAGGCTTTGTTTGGTCCTAATCCGAGAGTTAATTTTTCTGGAGATAAAAATTGGCAGATGGTCGCTTAATCCAATATTTAGCACGCCAGATTGGATGACCCTATCCTTCTGAGAGGTGTAGATAAGGTCTATTACTTTACCAGATATTGGCCTAGTAGCTATATTAATGAGTTGTTCAAATTGGTACTGAGATGTTATTACATGAAGTGGTTGATAGGAACGTTTGTCTTGAAAGTTAGTGTTTAAGTCTCCTAAGATAATAATTTCTTTACGTTCGTTATCAACCGTACCTAAAGTGCAGTTTAAAGAATCTCTCCAATGGGTATATTATTTCCCGGTTGATACATTATGGCCATTAGGAAGGGTTTGATATTGTTTTTATTTCGATTCCTAATAGATTCAAAAATCATGAGTCTGACTTGGTCCAATGTATTTGTTATAGCCTGAAAGTTTTAGTGGAAAAAACTTAGGCCTTTCGTATGAATTTAAGAAAAGGGATTGTCGGCGGTTAATTTAATATTTGGCATGGGTTGGTTGGAATTCAAGCCGTTTAAAATATGTAATCTAGTATTACTAAAGCCATTATATTTTGCAGCCTATTATATTTTGCAAACCAAATTTTGAATTGTAAGTTGTAACGAAACGTAGCAAAACGGACAATAATGTTGTAGCATTTGGTTTCTCTACCTAGGCCTTGGTCGACGACTTAATTCATCGACATGCAGTTTCATTGTTTCCGGTTTGTTGTAGTGTATGTTATTGAAACGTGTTTACGGCTGTATAGACTAAACGATAACTAAAACATTTTTAAATAAGTATTTTCTTCAAAAACGCATTGTATGCTTACCTGAAATGATAAGAGCAGTAATCGAAATAACTAGAGAAAATATATATTCCGTTAGATGTTGGTGGATGAAGTTCCCTGCCGATAGCGATATGAAACGCTAGTGTTCTATCGAAACGAAACTTATTAGCATCATTCCTAATGCAGGCATGCATGTTAAAAAATGGCGACATGCAATCATAATGCACAGCATGAGTGAAGCTTGGTTTTCAAATGTTCCTAAACCTGTCGTAAACGTTGCAGTCACATAAACTTACTCCAACGCTGCACGCGAGACCATGTTTTGAAACTATTCCCCAGAAACTTAAATTTATTTCATTGCAATATTTTTATGCTATTATGTAAACATGATTGATATCGATGTCACACCAAGCTAGGTCAAAAAACAATCCTTCATCTTGAGACTTTACCATATATAGACGTAACAGACATATTTGCAATACAATATATTACAGAATTCAGTAGACTGTGAGATTTTATTAGCTAGTGACTGTCTATATGAATTAGGAATACAAATTATTAAAAATGCCATCATATCGCAAAACCATGTTTTATCTATTTTAGGCAGTTTTTACACCATAGTTATTCTAAGCTATAGAGAGTTTGTTGTTGTATACGCAATTAATAGACCGAAATTTCCTAGACTAAAGGTAAACTGAACTATTTTTTTTTGAATAAGTACATACATGTTTTAAGAACTTATTGCATGCTTATACCTATTGGCAGAATAGCACATTAGCATCATTCCCAAAGCAAGCATGCATGTTAAAAAATGGCGACATTCAATCATACTGCACAGCATGAGTGAAACCTGTTTTTCATATGTTCCTAAACCTGTCGTAAATGTTGCAGTCACAAAAACCTACTCCAACGCTGCACGCGAGACCATGTTTTGAAACCATTCCCCAAAAAGCTTAAATTTAATTCATTGCCATATTTTTTTGTTGTTATGTAAACATAATTAATTTTGATGTCACACCAAGCTAGGTCAAAAAACAATGAGTCGTTCATCTTGACGACTTTACCATATATATAGACGTAAGAGCCAT